CCTTTGAATATCGCTTTTAAGCTTTAAAAAGCGGTCGGGAACGGTCCTGCACGCTAATCGCCCATAGACAGTCCTGCAGGGCCCCGTATCTCGAAAGCATTGCTTATTGAGAATAGCTATATATATATATCACATAGAGGCTACAATATATTATATGGGGCGAGTATGGGCGAGTTATTGGATCGAGATGCTTGCGCTCGGTCGCAATGGGTGATACTTTTGAGTTACGGTTTTACAAAAAATGTTGCCGTTCGACTAATTGCAAATTGAAGTCACCTTAATTTCCATGGGTCCCAATTTGTTCTCTTTCGTTTGGTTCTGTCGTAATCTTTGTTATATTTATTTCTTTCCTCAATTGTTGTTCTTTTGTGAGCTTCTCTATCGGACTTGATAGAATTTTTTTCATTTTTGACAGCCCAAGATGAAAGCACGTGGGAAAAGAACTACATCTGACGCACGGCGTAAACTCGTACGTTCACTCATAATTTTGGGATTCAAATTTTTGTAAAATTCTCTTTTAATTTGCCTCCGTTGCCTTTATTACTGTTGATTATAAGCACTTCATGTACCTATAAGTCTATTTAATCAATATCATAACTTTTTATACTTTCACATTTTTATTATTCTCAACCTACAAATTGGTACTCGCGGTATCTCCTCTACACAAAACAATGAGGTAACGTTATCTGCTGTGCACTGAAGCTGGTTAAGAACAATGTGCCTCGTTTCAAATTGTCTTTCAACTTCATATCACACAGACAGAACTTCGAAAACGAGGCCACTGAGAGGGAGACTGTTGGTTACATTTCGATATGAGCGTTCTATTGCAAGCTATGGTTAGTTATTTGCTTCTATGAAAGTGGGTGAAAACAGTGAGTTTATTTTGCTGAAATCGCTTGTGAACAGACAAAATAAAAGGTGAAAATAGGCTGTAAATTAGCCAGCCCGTCGGGCGGGTAATTTGCAAATCTTACCCGCCCGGCCTGAAAGTTACCAGCCTCGGGCTGGCGGGCAGGCGGCCATTTCATACACTGTTTAAAGCCTGTTTATTATGACTGATCCAGACAGTGATTCATTTGGTTTATCCCTTGGGTTTTCGGCAAGATTTGAGTTATATAACAAACTGTTAGAAGTGGTTTTACAATTTATATGGGTTACTAGAAAACCATGCTTGCTTTATATATAACTTAAATTTAATGTCTTACCTTGTTGCTGTCCACCAGGTTGAACAGTTCTGTCCTCTGAGAATCCGTTAATAAATAAGGCTTTCCTCTTTTTGAAAATAACTGGCTAAGAAGGCCATCAAATTCCAATGTATTGAGGTATCCATCTCTGCAATTAAAATAAAAATACATTTAAAAGAACATTTTATTATTTTTCCAATGTCTTTTTCAGAAACTGTAAAACAGATTAGACATTCCTACAACTTACTAGTGCATAGCCAAGATGCTAAACTGTTATAAGTACAATTAAAGAAGAGTGACGCAAGTGTGTTTGTGATATCTTAAAAATAAATATAATATATATGTAATGCGCGTGCGTGTGTGTGTGTGTGTGTGTGTGTGTGTGTGTGTGTTAAACAGTTTACTAGATAAAAACAAGAAACTACTGTTAATGTTAAAAGAAAAAGACAACAGAGCCTAATATAGATACACTCAGACTCCATTCATAAATGAGCAGTAACCTGTAACAAAATTATTACTGTATACATATACTAGTGCATTCATAATTCAAACTGAGATGATAATGTAAACAATCATGATATACAAGAGTTGTAGTAAGATGAAAGAACATCAAGTCTATTGAATTTTCTAGTGACACTGAACAGGAAACAGCTCAACTGTTATAGAGGATAACATTAAAATTCTCCTCAGATATGTTTGAATGTAGCCACTGCTGTGTCTGTGATACATCTCATGCAGTCTGTGTGCAGTGAGCTGAATCACCACATTGCAATGTCTGCAGCCTGTCCTGGCTAACATAAAGAACGCTAAAAGATTAGAAGACTGAGATTTGAGATCAAGCATTTTGGATGGACAGCCATATGGATAAGGTATGCATACAGGACTAAGTATGCATTATATGAATAATGACCATTTGCAAAATCATTGTGTTCAACTGAATAGTATCCCAAGCAACAAGTATCAAATAACAACTAAGAATGTTAAATGGGAGCCATGTTACATGTAGAAGGGAAATATGCACTACAGTAGCTCTGTCATGCTTCAGGGTAGGAGCAATACATGACAAAAGCCACTTCATCATCACCTGTAGACCTGTTACCTCACCCATTTTTGTAGGGAGTCTCCCGAGTATAGGACTACTCTCCCAGTCTCTGAATTCAGACCAAAAAGCTCCCAACCTAACAGTTTTCCAGGGTGAAAGCATGAAATATCTCTGACCCTGGCAATTTCCAAACAGGTATGCAACTGCCAACTCTATCTTTCAATATCAAAACAAACACTTGTCTATCACTTCACTTGTCTGATTAATACCAACTGCTCAGTTTTTATGTACTAGTACAGATATTGCAGTGGCTTTTGTCATATCCCATAATATGGTAGAGATCTCATCCCAATAAGAGATGGATGTGTTTCCATGTACTTGGATTTAAATGATTTTCTCATAATTTATTTTTTTATCATTTTCAATCTGCCAAGATTGTAGGATTTTGCTTTTCATTATTTCCACACGATTTTTAGATTCATTAACCCATCAAGTTTATAACCAAGCACAAGGTTTCATGCATTACCACCGCTGATTACGGTCTCTGATACGTACCATGTGGGCAAATAACACATATCAGAAATCGTAAATAGGAATGCTAAACACATTAAACTTCGTGCAGTGACAGTCGAGCGTGCATTCGTAAATGTAAACACTGACAGACTTTCGAAAATAACTTTGGTCAGTCTACTTACCTATCAGTATCGAATGTACGGAAGCACTCTTGCATCTTACCGCCATCTCTCGTAGCACCGCTTTTCCTGTACTTGTCGAAAAAATTCTGTGGAAAGTCGTTTACTCTAGAATCAGCTGGCTGACTGGAGTTGTGAGTCGCCATTTTTAATCAATACTGCACTTTTGTCACGCGAGACTATTACAACGAAATGTCGATATCTAATGAGCTGATGTGATCTCGACTATTTTAGTCAAAATGATATTAAAAAGTTTTTTAAATCATATGCAGGCATAATTTTGAGCGTTTCTCAGTTTGGATAAGAAAACTATAAGAATATATTTTATAAAACAGATTTCCCAGGCTGCTCTGCTCTAACAGGAAGTTGAAATAGTGCAGCCGACGCGATTGTGTTTTGACGTTTTTAGTTATCATGTAGGTCAATGATCAATAGAATGGAGGGAGAGTTGACGTGCTCGATATGTTTAGAGTTATATACAACACCGCTGATGTTGCCATGTACACATAATTTCTGTGAACAATGCATTCAGGGCCTCGTACGACACGGCGGTGGAGCAAGGACTTTCGCTTGTCCCACTTGCCGTCGAGAAGTGGTGCAAGACCGTTCATTTTTGAGTTCTCTCCCTGTAAATCGAAGTCTTAATCAGGTAGTCAAGGCCTTCATTAAGGAGAAGGAAAGTAACACCCTGGCAGCCAGTATGTGTTTCTTACACAACGAACCCAGAAATTTGTTTTGTACGACATGTAAAACGGACATGTGCCAAAAATGTCTGCAAAAGGACGAGTCCCATCTCCGATTCGGTCACCATGTGGCGGCTGTTGAAGAGCTTATCACTGAGGAGAAGGTAAATGTTCCTGGTTGGAATTATATTATATTCAAAAGTTTAAGCAACGAGTAACTAGTAATGTGTCTCCCTGAGTGTTTGATAAACCATGTCACCCTATGCTAGTATAATTGAAAGTGAAAGTGGAACTCATGCATGAATGTCCAAGTTCTCTTTTCTTGATTTATTTACAACATTATTGTAACACTACCAAGTATTCAAAATAGGCAGCAGTTGATCTGGTTTCATCATGCTAAGTCCTTCAGATTTGTACACATACAGACATGCTAAAAACTTTTCAGAATGGCCGGACATTTGGACCGACAGTAATGAAAAAATTGCCGGACCGAATGATTTTTTGTCAGACCGAAAATCACCCTATTCGTTTGACAAAGATACTATCAGTATGATTAGGTAGCTTACTTTGTTTGTGAATGTGATAGATTTGAAAAGGAGGGGAAAAATGCTTTGGGTTTTATATAATTTTATTAGTGAAGTATGTCGAATGATGATTGTAAATTCAAAATTTTGGTTCTTAAAACATTTGTCGGTCCTTTGGACCGACCAAGTCCAATTTTTTACTGGTCCAGACAAATTTTCCCGGTCATGACCAATCAGACCGACAGTTTCAGCATGTCTGCACATATAAGATCGATCAGACACTCATTGGATACATGTAACTATACTGAGAAGCAGATTCATGTACTACAGTAGTTCATGTATTAGTATATATATGTAGTACACTGTATCTTGTTAATAATCGACCATCTAATGATCTTATTCTTGTACTACTAGTAGGTGCTAATTGGAAAGTGGAAAAATAAGCTTCTGTTGAACACAGTTAGGTGATTAGATAAGTCCTTACCGATGAATGAGGATTAACACTTAAAAGAGGTGTCTGAAAACAAAAGTCAATGCAAATGCATCTCCATTGTGTCTCTGCATAAACTGCTGTTTTATTGTCTGTCACCCTGTCTTTGCCACCACTCACTGATGTTAATGAGCAGAGATGTTTTACATTGGGCCACATTATTGGCATACACAGTTGACCAGGTCTCTTTTTTGGGCCATCCAATTTGATGTGCGAATGTCAGGGGCAGATCCAGAGCTATTTACTGACAGCCTTCCAAATTATCTTTGTTGATTCATCCTCCAATTTTGACCATCTTCCAACAGAAAAAAATTAGATACCCGTCAATGTAAACTGGAAAATCTGACTGTCTTCTGGAAGACCCAGAAGACAGCCAGATCCACCCCTGAATGTATCCTGTCGAAAAATAGGTTTTCTTAATCTTGTATTTTGGTATGAATTTTGTTTAGTCATGGAGTACATGTATATCTAAATTCTATTATTAATATAATATAAACATAGACAATTTTTGTATTTTTAAAGAGAAAATTAAATCCTGTGGTTGAAGAAGCTAAGAGACTACAAGGAGACATCCATGAAAAACAGAGGCAAATTAAGGCAGAAGAAGAAAGTATTAAGGTGAGAATCATGATGCACATGTATCTATCAAAATGGGTTGAATTTCATGTCAGTCCAAATATGTATTGCACTGTCACTGATCATCAGTAGAGGACTGTTTACACCTGTCATAGTGTCACATTATATTTATGTCCTGCTCCCTCTGTAATTAAACTGAAATCAAGTCTCAATCTAATTGAAAATATATACCAGTAGTATTTTTAAACTAGTGTTATCAGTTTAGAGTTAGTTTTTTGTTTCTTGTAGAACGTGCTGCTCTCTCTCTCTCTCTCTCTCTCTCTCTCTCTCTCTCTCTGGTTTAGTTGTTTTATAGAGTTACCAGCATATACACTCTTGTGCTTGTGATATGAGAAAAGTCATACGTAGCAGACACAAGCTTGGGACTGCTGACAACCTTGTTTTTACTGCACAGTAATCTCTATTTCCTAATTAGGAAGAAGTCAAAAGAAAAACTGAAACAATGCGAAGTAACTGTGATATCATGATAGCACTGCTGAACATGAAGAAGCAGGAACTGGAGTCATCCTTGCAAATGGCACTGTCTGAAGACCTGGCTCCACTTCATCAGTTTGCCAGTGAGCTAAGAAAGAAGGAACAGCAGCTGGACATAATGCTGAAGGAGAACAAACTGGTCCGCTCGACTGGGACATCA